TTATCGTGGAAAAGGTGGGAGGAGAGGAAGGGGAGGGGCGCCAACCAACTAGAGGCGATCTCCCGCGCCGGGAAAGTCCTTTACGGTCCTTTACGGAGAGTACTATGAGCTGAGCCTGAGCCGAGGCGGAGGACGGCCGGTATAAGAGACCCCGCTCCGTCGGGTACACGCAGTGTCCTCACTGGAATCGCCATGGCTCGTTTCTTCCCTCGAGTCGCAGTAAGTTGTGGGGAATTCCTTCTGGGTCTAAGGGAAAGGGTAGCGACAGAGCTAGGCAACTCGCTGCACTCCTTGTGTCCCCCGACCTTCGAGGTTGTTCTCAGTCTGCGAGCAGCGAGGGAATTCCCTCCGTGTTGTCAGTCTTGGTATGGTTAATTTACTTATTATTTGTGTCCTTCAGATATTTTTACTTTTTGGTGAGCGGATATACAAGACAGGTTTCCGCCAAAGACTGCTCTATTTGACTCTGACGACAAGTGAACGACATGACGCCTACGGAGATTCGCGCGCACGCTAACAGTCAACCGGTCCATAAGCTAGGACTCGCCCGCACCATCTAGTTAGTTCCTGCGATATTTCGATTCAGATCTACACCGTAAAAATTACAATGTAGTTTTACAACCTCAGCTGCACAGGGCCGATTTCAATCCCCCTTGTAAGTAGCATTAGCATTTTACGCCGAGACTTTTTGACGGCATGCGAAAAGTTGCAAAACTACTGTAATTTTTTTAACAGTGTATTGGAATGTAAAGCAATTTTCACTGGTTCCTCTGCCTCCCTCCTCTTCCCCAACTCCTCTCCATTTTTCTTGATTTGAATTTTCTAGTATTGGGTACGGATGGAATACTCCTGACGGGGGAAGGGGGGGGGGGCACTTGTCACGAAAGTTTGCCACCGTCTCTTGCCGTGGCGCTTGCGCTTTCTCGTTCAAAGCATGACTGGACCTCACGAGGCGCGACACGCTTCATTCCCGCTCGCCGAATAAGAAAAGGCAGCCACCCATTCCCGATTGCGTGTAATGCTGGGCCAAGTTGGGAAAGCGCAGTGTCAGCACTACCGCGTGCCGTATCCCAGCCGGAACATGTTTTTTAAATAAAAGAGTTGTTGCCACAGGTGGGAACGAATAAATGCGCGGAGCGGGGGTGGGGGTGGGGGGAGAGGCACTCTAGGGTCTAGTGAACCGCCTGAAATGTAGGCGATTTGCGCCTCAAAACCCCTGTGTGTAGGCAGCCTACAGTGTCCACCCTCCCCCCTTCCGACCGGATCTTCCTTAATTAATCCGTGCCTGGCTGCAGGTGATGGTCGCGGTGCTGGTCGTGTCCGCCGCGATGTTGGTGGACGGCCGGCGGCCACCCCGGCCGCCCCGCCGCCCCGCCGCCGTGCACGAGAGCTACGACGCACCGAGCTTCTCATCCTCCGACCAACAGCCTGCGGCCTCCGGACACGGTGAGTGTTTTGGGGGCGAA